GTGCCCCGAATTCCAGCAGCATTACAGAGTGGTTTATAAGCCAGGTACACTCAGGGTCACTCTGTGTTATAGCTATGAATGAGTGTTTATCGGTGACCATCGTATTGGAATCGGCTAAAATACTTACACGTATGGCCTGGTGGCCATTCCTGAGAATTTTCTCTCTGCCTTTCGGTTATTTCTGAAGTGTCAAGTAGAGCAGGGGTCTGTCTAGCATGCACTCAAGCCAGGAGTAATGTCCCCAGGCCAGAGCCAGTATTCGACACCTACAAACACCCATTCATGGTGACGCTAGAGAGTGGCGGGGGCCATATTTGAGCTGATAAAAAAAGCACATGAACGCAGAGCCCTTTTTTGACAATGCCCTTTTTTGTGCTTTTCTGGGAGTTCTCTGTTCTCTGTTTGTGCTTTTCTCTATTAAATGGCCTTTTGAGTAACCGACTGAAACTCGGTCAAACCTGCGCGGTGACTTCTTGCGTCCATCTTCGTTTGGGGGAGCCGTGTCCCGGTTGGAGAACCGATCGACGGCCTGGAAGGAATCGGGAATCTTTCGTCAAACGTTGATGCCGAAAGAGCCCTCTATTTGCAAACGCTGGAAAAAGGACGTCTTCGGCTTCGGATGAAGGCCCGCGGCTTTGATTGTGCAGCAGGGGAGCAGTAGGTGATTTCTTGGCCGTTTCCCAACACCAGAGGGTTGACAAGATGGTCAGCGGCTGTGTTGCGTTTCAAAACGCATCCTGTTTCGACCTGTTGCATGGCACGCGTCCGCTGCGGTGCCAAGAGGAGTTTCCTCTCGGCCCAGTTGTCCACTACAGCACCGAAGCGGATTGCGGAGATCCCACCTGACCCTGGCCCTCCTGCTCAGCGGCTCATGCACAGCCCAAGTGTCCGCTACAGTATTGAGTGGATCGCGGCATTGCCGCTCGGCTGACTCGTCCACTACGCCTCCGAGAGGATTGCGGACTTCGGCCCAGTTGTCTGCTGCGGCTCTGAGCAGATTGCGGCGTTCCTGCTCAGCCCACTCGACCGCCTCAGCACTGAGCAGGTTGCAGAGTTCCCACCCGGCTCACTTGTTCATTACAGCACCGAGCAGATTGCGGTGTTCTCGCTTGACCGTGGCTTTCCTGTTTGGCCCACTCGTCCATTAAAGCACTGCGCGGATTGAGGAGTTCGATTACTGACTCGTCGATTACAGCGAGTTCTTCCATTGACCGTGGCGTTCCTGCTGGGCGCAATTTCCCGCTACACCACCAAGCTGATCGTGGGGTTCCTGCTCGGATCACTCGACCTCTACAGCTCTGAGCAGATTGTGGCGTTCCTGCTCGGATCACTCGACCTCTACGG